TCAGTCTATCTATCTGTCTATCTGTCTGTCTGTCTGTCTGTCTGTCTGTCTGTCTGTCCGTCCATCCATCTATCCATCAGTCTATCTATCTGTCTGTCTGTCTGTCTGTCTGTCTGTCTGTCTACCCATCTATCCGTCCGTCTATCTGTCTATCTATCTATCTATCTATCTATCTATCTGTCTATCAATCTATCTGTCTGTCCATCCATCTATCTATTTATCCGTCTGTCCGTCTATAGATTAAAATAAAAACAATGTCATTCAAAAAAGGCTTTAAATCACAGCAGACATTTTGAATTGTTATATAGCAGAAAAGCACATTACTGTAACTCACTCAATATCCACAATGAACGAATACATAGACGATAAATGCTCCACAACGCTTTAGTTACACACATCTATAACATGTATACCATGACGTGTTGAAATATATCTGCTCAGTTTTTCCGGGGTGGAATATTATCGTCTCTAATTTGCATCATCTCTGGGATTTTTCATCTCAACAAATTCACATCTTTCAAAGTTAAAGTTGATGGACTGACTTTATGTTTGACACAGTAGTCTGAAAACATAATCATAACCTGGCATTTCCCAAAGTGAAGCCAAATCATCTTGTTTGCTGGTGGCTGGCTGCAGTATAGGTCATAAACTCCACACCTCCATGTTAGCTGATGGGACATGGACCAACAAATGGAATCAAAGTTTCTCTCAAAGATGGTTTCTGTCATTTAGGTGGTTCGTATCATGCTGATGCATGTACAGTGCTCAAGTTTTTAAAGTTTGGTTCTCAATAGTTATTTGATGTTAAGAGAATGGGTTGAAATGTCATGATTGACAGCTGGGAATAATTCACTAGGTGGACAAAGCACTGGTAAATACACTCTGGCTCCAAACAACATTGTAAGTGCAAGATGGATGCACCCGGATCAAGGATATTTTGGCTTCATTTCTGTATAATAATGAAGTATTTAGGTGGAACTATTGACGTGAAAGATTATTTTCAACAACGTAAAACCTGTAACTTGGAATGATAGTGTTTTTGATACCTGGGGGAAGCCCTTTAATGTGGGCATGGGTTCTCTTCAATGGTGTCTGCCATTTTTCTACAGTAGCCCAGAATGGACAAATACAACACTGGCTGCAGAAAAGGCCTTTCAGAGAGGCCACCTTAGGTTCTCCTACACAATTGTCTTATGGTACTTCCATGGCTGAGAGAAATTCAGTTGTTTGCAATATGCAACTTCACCACTAGATGCTATCAAATTTTCCCTTTACAGCATTTAGAAAAGGGGGTATGTATCTAAGTCTTCCCTGTACATACAACCTGACAGCATAGACGTTATGACATATCAGTTGTATTGAATCAAAAGAGATATATATAGTGGACACTAGTAGCCAACGAACATCTCATTCATCTCATTGTTTTACTTCAAAATGTGACATTTGAAAAATGAAATATATTCCTGACCACTGATGATGCAGAACAGAAAGCAAATGTTCAAATATTCATAGAGTCCTTCAGTCATTTCTATGAATTTATGACTCTGTCTATGTCATGGCATCAACATGGTTTGAGTCCATTCAAAGTGAATCCCATGTGTTTAATATCAGACTCCTGCACCATTCAATACCCATGTGTTGTAGATGTATGGATCTTTTGACCAATGATGCTATTGAAATAATAATTTTGACATAATAAAAAAAAAAATCTGTAATGATCGAAGGAAACTGTAAGTTTTTGGTTTTTAATATTGAAACTATCCAAATGAATATCATATGTATATCATAAATCCAGTCCTATAGATGTCACTTTGTAATCACTGTCTTTATGAGAAACGTATGTTGACACAAGCGTGGTCAAGGATGCTCTCCACCAACATTGTTTTGTTCTGCCCTCTTTCAACCCGGCCCCACAGTCAGGAGTACAATTTATCTGGCGGCATACACAATAAAGGAAGACATGGCCGGGGTGAAAAGTTCAACAATGCTCATCAGAGTCTTGTTAAACCTAATCAGTTATGGCACTGTCTGTTTAGTTATGTTAGTGATAGGGAAGGCGACGCTGTGTTATCAATATTATAATTGGTAATTATTGGACAAAGTTGCCCACGTAACACTTCTCAGAAAGAAGGAGACGGTGTCACCTCACAGAAGTGTATCACGCTCATGAGAGACAGGTGTCATGCTGAATGGAGGACAGTACTGAGAGGTTTTGAAATACATTTACCTTTATCTGTGCTATTGATTCAACAAATGGATAAAGATTTCCTTTATTAATATAGATTTTAGGAGGTTTACAGTAATACCCGTATTAATATTTTTTTTACTGTGCTCCTATCTGACAAGTTCTGTCAATTACCCAGCTGACCTGCCAATAAACTCTATTTACAAGGCAAAATTAAAATAAAGTCAGGTCGCCAGAAAGTCAAACAGTTTATGGCAGCGCTGTATCTTATCTTTGACAAGGAACTGTAGCGTCATGAAAAAAACCCTCCTTTACAATAGAACAGCACAAACAGCTCTCTACCAAGAAGTATGCCGAGAGACCTCAAACCTTGATCTGTACAGATACATCAGCACAGACTTATCACCAGGCAACACCTGAATGCTTCAGTAGCCAAGTCAACACTGAACATCACCTTTTACTTTAAATGATGTTTATTTGTTGGTTTTTTTAGGCTTTTATGTAATAGGACAGAGTAAGATGTGAAAGGGCGACAGACAGATAATGGTAATATGAACAGTAAATTAACAAAATGCAAAACATGCAAACTTTAGTTCAGGTGGACATTTAGACACCAAATCATTGAATAAACGTAAAAGTCATTTTGTGTATCATGTTGATGTCGTTCTGGGGAACAGCCTGAGGTGAGGAGGTGTAGGGAGGCAACATGGCAGCCAGCACATCAGCTGCAGCTGGGGCTTCTGTAAGAGCGAGAGAGAAATCTGTGAGAAATAACTAACTGATCATCAAGTGATTCATTCTAATCTTACGATTAGATAACGACTTTAGTCAGTGTCATTTTATTTGTCCAGTCAAGCAATTTAATTAGAGATTCCCACATATTGGACATTTCAACTTGTTTGTTTTATATTAACTTAAAGGTTTAGTGTTTTTAAAACCTCATAATATTGCAGCTCATGACCAGCGGACTGCATGTGTCGCCTGGAGAACAGCTCCAGGTCCTTCAGAGTTTCGGCCTTCCGCCATTTGGCTCTGCGGTTCTGGAACCAAATCTGAAGCACACACAAAAACACCAACATTTACACATGCATACAATATTTCCAATGCCAATAATATACATTGTTATAAAAAATAAAAAGAATAAGTAAAAATAGTGCTGGATTCATATAACTTTCATTCAAGAACAAATCTTTTTTTTAAAGGTTAAAAATTCACCTGGTTTGAATCAATATATACAAGTAGGTTACAGTGATATATTTATATATGCCTATGTTGTTTGGTTATTTAAATGAAATTGAAATGTCTTTAGACACAAACAAGTCAGTGAATTGTCAATCAGCGCTACAGAAACCTGCCTGCGGCCTTTAAAACTACAAAGGATACAGATATCATTAGAAAATCATTAACAGGTAGTGATATGTAAGTGTATTGATGCTTCTAGTCTATTTCATACTATCAGGCAGTTGTTTGAAAGCATTCTCTGAATTGTTACCAGCGCTAGATTAAGGTTTGGACTCTTGTTAGAATGTAATCAACTAAGATAACTGTGATTGCTGTATGTGGATGGAGCCACAATAATAGGAAAAGGAAAAAAAGCTTCTGTATAGATTTCACACCTCTGAAGGTTTACATGAGTGTGGCGCAAAAAGTCACTCATCAATACATTGACACTGACAAATCTTGATTTATAAAACCAACAAACACTGAAACCATCACAAATCCAGAGCTGTATGTGTCTCTACCTGTATTCGTCCCTCGGTGAGGTGCAGACACGAGGCCAGCTGCTCTCTGGTGTTGACGTCTGGGTAGTGAGTCTGCTGGAAAACTTTCTCCAGCTCCTTCACCTGGAACTGTGTGAACGTGACCCTGGTTTGCCTCTTCTTCCTCCGGCCTGTAAAACAAATGATCGTCGCCTTTATCATCAGCATCGTTTATGCATCCAAACAGTCTCTTCCTCTTTTACTTTTAACACAGGATACTCACTGATGCAGTCGGAGGTGGCCTTCGGAGACTCTTCAAGTAGTCGGATTTGAGGAGTTTCTATAGACAGAGATAAGATATATTTGGAATCATATTTCCAACCTTTAATACATGTTTGACAGACAGGGTTTTAAAGAAAGCAAACATACCTGTACATGAGTGCTGTGTAGATTCTCCGGTGTTCTCCTTGATGACGGACCAGTTACGGTGAACTCTCTTCTCTTTCCGGACACACGTGGGCCTCCTCAGTATCGCTTCGATGGAATGGGATAATTTTCTGCATGGCTGAGAATCCCTTTGTTGATCCACGCAGGAGTCTTTCTCTGCATCTCCTCTGTTCCACATTTCCAGTGATTTATCACCGTTAATGACTTTATATACTTCAGAAGATTTAAAAAAAAAAACAACCTTCCCCTGTTCTCTGATGTCTTCTTCTTCCTCTTGTCCTCCTTGTGTAAGGTGAGGACAGTGGGGTAGTCCTCTCTCTCCTGTCAGCCTGTGTCTGAACTGCATCACATGGTCATCATGAGGGAGGAGCCAGAGGCTGCATATAATAGCATGCACTTCTAAGAACACCTAGTCAGAATCCATTCATGTCAAGGTTTCAAGTGTCCCTCAGGAGCTGTTAATTCAAGGTGTGTTCCTTGTCAATATGGGAACATGCTCTATGATGTCATATCTGCCCTTATCAGCTCCTCACAGACACATTTATTCTTATACACATTATGTGTTGTAAAAAACGAACAAATGTTTGCACTGTACGTTTTAGACAAAGTCTTTGTGGTTTTGTAGAATTGACAACCGAGACAACATTAAACCCTGAATACATATTTAAATTGCTGCCTCTAGTTCTTATCACCAGGTTTATTGGAGGACAAATCCTTATCTTCTTGGCCTCAGTTTGCCCTCTCACACTCAAGTTCACCTCCTGGGGACTTTGAGAGCTCGATTCGTTAGTGCCTCCTGGTGGTGGTGTGGGAGATAATGTTTAATTAGTTCAGGATGTCTCCATCTAGTGGTTTGATGTCCTACTGTATATTATATCAAGGATCAGGCTTTGTAAAAAGGCCTTTTTCACAGCATGTAATAGTAATTACATAATTGTTTTTTACTAATGATGTTTTTATATAAATACAGTGTTAATCTCCTTGACTTTAATGCTTTAATATGTATTCAGCAGCATTCATATAATCTAAAAGTGGAAATAGAAATCAAAATTCTACACTACACTCGTTTTTCTCACACACAGCAGCAGAAAGCTATAGGTGCTGTGATGCAAGTTATTACATAAACAAAACAAATCATTTGCATTGCAACACAAGTGTAAATCCTGTAGGTGGTGCTGTTCTCCACCTCGCTCGTCACCAATGAGTCACAGAACGTGACCTGCTTGGGTCACTTGTGGTCAGTAGGTATTTAAACAGGATACAAACACTCACTGTAATTCAAAGGGAATTTTACAGCAAACTAAATCAGCTGTTACCTCAGCCAACGTTTTTAACAAACTGATGATCAAAACACATTTTGTAGAGAAAATGCAGATTTTCTTGTTTTTCCTTTGTTGACATTCGTCCTTCAGGGAAATCGATGTTCAGTTAGTCCATTTAATTTCTTTTTTTAAAATTATGTTAATATTTAACTTCACACAGTATAAAAAAACGGAACATACAATACAAACATAAGCATGAAAGACAATAATCACAAAGGACAAAAAAAATAAAAAAAATAAAAAGCCAAACTCTACATAGATAAGCTACAGCATAAGAGCCTATACTAATTAATCATTCAGTAAATAAAAAATAAAGCATATGACAAAGAATAGCCAGAATGGGTATTACGCAGCATTTGGGTCATTCGGGAAAGTTAAGGTGCCTTTAAAGACCATTCAATTTCTACATGTGCAACACATTAATCTGTAGATGTTTCCCCTCACTCCCTTCAGTCACTCTGCAGCAGATTGATTACTCGGTCTCTGCGGCTTACAGTAATGTGATCATGTGAGTCGGAGTTGCTGACTGACATAAAAACTGATGTGAAGGACACAATAGGCTGTAGTTTAATAGAAAGAAGGGTCCTACCTTTCTTTAACAAGACTGTATAAACAAATGTTATTTAACTAAAATATCTTATTTGTAAAAAATTCCAGAATTTGCATACATTTCCAGATCATACTGAACTGTGGATAACGTCATAAAATTCATGTTTTCTGGGGCAAATAATTTAACTAAGGTAATTTAGGGAATCTGTTCTTATAACTTTATAAAGCATCAAATCAGTCTCTGTACACATAAAAATTCAGATTTTGTGATGTTAAAAATGTTAAATGCATAAAACCCCCTTAAGAAGACAGATTGGGATACAACTGTAAAGTTTGGTTTGGAGATTTCTGGTTCAGAGTATGAGGAAATAACTCATATAGACAAAATGTTGTAACTGATTTCTTACATTTATATGTCAGCAAAATAGCCCAAACTCTTAAGACTTCATCACTACATGAAAAAAGTGTTTTTGCACAGTCACATGCACCCAGGAGACCTCATGATGTCAAAGCACTGGTTCTCTCTTTGCTTGTTAAGTTACACGTGAGCTCAGACTCCTATCTAGTTAATCTAGTGGTTATTTCCAAGCTCCCCTCTTAAAACCTACCATGAAAAGAATGTTAAAGTTGATTAACATATTAAAAAGATACCTAAGGAGTTGCTTTTGCTTTTTAAATCATAATTTCTGTTTTTGCTTCCTCTCGGTTGTGCAGCTGCCAGTTCGCGACCTGGTTCATCCATTTGGAATAAGGAGTGATACAGATTATCAATCCTGTAACAGAGGAAAATACACCCAGATCCGGATGCCAACAGTGTGTGACTCTGAATTCCCTCTGCTGCTATAGGAATACAGTTTCAGGCCTTCTTAATGAAGTAGATGTGGGCTGCTATCAAACTCTTAATTTAGAGTAATAATCCAATTTAATCTAATATCATTTTACGTAAAAGAAGAGCTTTACGGTAAATTAGGAAATTAAGTTAACATTTACCGAACATTAACCACCATCAATGACTGCTTCGTGATAGTCATGGTAATGACTCCTTGCAAAACAAATATTTGGTATTAAAGTTAAAAGAAAAGCAGTTGAGCTGAAACAACAGACCGCATGAAAATAGTAAGTACTGTCTTGAAAGCTTCTGGCTGTAGTAAACCTTACAAAACTTTCAGTGATACATAATTTTTTGTGTTTTTTTTAAAGCCTCTGAAATGATTCTATCAATAAGATTAAAATCTATGTGTTTGAGGGCGTAAGAGAAAAAAATTAGAGGAATTTCTCCTGCCTGCTAGATGTTGTTTGGTCAGCTGCTTTTACTGTTGTAATTTGGTTCACATGAGCTACTGGTGGTACTCAATTATCAAGCACGGCAATCTCATGTTTGAACTTTGCTCCTTCTGACTGTGCACCCCCGCCGTCCTCCTGCATCCCAGCTCACTCCTTTCTCCGCCAGGCTCGCGCTCATATCCACTCCCATCTGACTGGTTGTTTTCCCTTTTTCTGTTTTCTTGCCCAGACGACTGCCATCCGAGGCTGTGGGCTGCAGCATGGCTCCCGAAAAGGACAGCAATGGTCTTGACAACTATGCATTTGCAGTGAGTATAACTTTTATTTAATGATTGTTTTCTGAGTAAATGTTTTCTAAT